ACACACACACACACACACACACACACACACACACACACACACACACACACACACACACATTTCAACTGTAAAGAGCAGCATGAACGGTTGTTAACAATTCCAACTGTTATTGCTTGGGTTTTACACCTTTCAAATAATGACATTGCCAGGCCTTTAACCCTATCCGTACGCCCTGGGGTCATTTTGTACCCCGGGGTTGCATTCTTCGTATTTTAGAATACTTCGAGTACGAAGATCTCTTTGAGACTTTCAGTATTTCTCAAAAAAATCATTTAGACAGACTGCTACGAAAAGCGTACGGATTCGATTAACGAGAAAATTTCCTCTTTGAAAAGTGGTGGCACAGAGTTCCCCACGTTGTATGAATACGATAGTGAAACACGACGTATGGATAGGGTTAAGTGGTGGCACAGAGTTCCCCACGTTGTATGAATACGATAGTAAAACACGACGTATGGATATAGGGTTAAAGTGGTGGCACAGAGTTCCCCACGTTGTATGAATACGATAGTAGAACACGACGTACGGATATAGGGTTAAGTGGTGGCACAGAGTTCCCCACGTTGTATGAATACGATAGTAGAACACGACGTACGGATATAGGGTTAAAGTGGTGGCACAGAGTTCCCCACGTCGTATGAATACGATAGTGAAACACGACGTACGGATAGGGTTAAAGTGGTGGCACAGAGTTCCCCACGTTGTATGAATACGATAGTAAAACACGACGTACGGATAGGGTTAAGTGGTGGCACAGAGTTCCCCACGTTGTATGAATACGATAGTAAAACACGACGTACGGATAGGGTTAAAGAGGTGAAATGATGAAGGCGTAAAACACCTTCATTCACAGTAACAAGAGGCGAGATTACAAAGGTCTCCCCGATACTACAAAGAGGACCATATGGGTGGAGTGTCTTCAAAACTCGCCGAACAATCCAAAATCCAAGATTGCCCACTTGGCATCATCTAAATTAGCCTCCTAATGGTGTATGCACGATCCTGAACAACAGCAACAAAGATGGTACATAACAAACAAGATAGTTCACTCAGTCAAAAAAGTGTCCGCGGAAGTCCGCTTCAGATGGCGCTACAGTCTTTGCTTTGAAGCTTTCTTTCGTTTCCCCATAGGAAAAATAGGAACAGCACAGTTTGTTAGTTTCACTTTTATTGTTTTTCACACAAGTGGGGTAACCCTGTTTGCAAAGTCCGCGCTTTTTCGAAGAGGGCACCACCGAATTTTGAGGACACTTTTTTAATTAGCTCAAATAGAGGAGTGAACTATCCTGTTGTTATGCACGATCCTGAACCACAAGCAGTCGACATTTAAAAGGACAAACACATTTTAAAACAAATTTACAGTAATATCGAATGCTAATTATAAAACAATCATTTTAATGCAATACGTTGATCATATCCAATCAACGATTGTTCAACTATGGAATACGCATTGTAAAAAAGGTTAATTTTTGTTAGACAAACAAAAGCTGTATTTTCTGCATACATAACTATGATCAGTACATTGGAGTAAATTCTGAATTGTGAACATAAAAGAAATCACTGGGAAAAACAATTTGCCCTCATCAAGTGTAGCCATTTTTAATTTCAGGAGATCAGATAAGTATGAAAAAAACCCCCCCAAAAGCAACACGTCTCGTAATCCTGTCCCCGAAGTTTTATGCACCCTGCTTAATTTAGCAAAATGTGATCATTTTTTGGCATAATTTTTGATTATTTTCCTTCCTCAGTCTTTGTTAAAATTAACAGAATCGTATAATTTCACATTTTTGGGCTCAGTTTGCCTAATTTATTATTTTTTTTTCATAAAACCACGGGGACAGGTAATCGACTGAATTACTCCTCCGTGTTCGAGACCTGGCGGGCAGAAAGACTGACAACAATTATGGAGGGACAAACAAACAAACAAACAAACAAACAAACAAACAAACAAACAAACAAACAAACAAACACACATACACAAACACATATTATACATAAATCACATTACACCATAACATGTGCACTACCCTGCCCAATACCACAGTCACATACAACAACACACCACCCTTAGAGCAGCACATCAAAAGTACACCACACTGCACCATACCACATTCACATCACAAACACACCATCCATAGCACAAACACACCACCAACAACAGACCACCTTTAGAACAGTACACCACTAACTCACCACACTGCACCATACCACATTCACATCATAAACACACCATCCATAGCACAAAGACACCACCAACAACACACCACCCATAGCACACCACAAGCACATCACTCTGCACCATACCACATTCACATCACAAACACACCATCCATAGCACAGCACAGCAGCCACAACATACCACCCATAGCTCAGCACACCACCCACAACACACCACCCATAGCACACCACCCACAACACACCACCAACAACACACCGCTCCACAAGTAAACCGCAGCACAGCCTACCACCCACAACACACCACCAACAACACACCGCTCCACAAGTAAACCGCAGCACAGCCTACCACCCACAATACACTATACCAAACATCCTTAAAGCAAGGAAGAAGTCAGTATAATTTTTCGTACTAAAACTACAGCAGTAATTAAACTAACCAACTGAAGACACTATCCATAAGTATTATTATATCTTGATCTATTGGCCAAATCTCCAATGATATTATATTAATTGAGTTCATAGTTTGGTATCTCTTCAGCCCAAAGACCCCTGGCAACTTCACGACAACAGCCTTGTAAAGGACTCGAACCACGGTCATCTGCGTAATATCCCAACATGTCATCAACTTAGATAACAAACACTCCTGGGCAAATGCGTCAAAAAAAGGGGCGTAGAGTTGCCCCCTCCCCTTAAAAAAAAAGAAAGAGGATTTTAAAAAAAAGGAAACCATCAAAGCAACCAGATTAATATAATCATAACATACTCCAACTTTCTGTACTGAAACCCTCCGTTTCACAATACCCACGTTATAACTATAACTAGAAATGGTATGAAATGGTATGGGTTTAACGCCCCTATCAACACTATTAGGTTATTTAAGGGGCGGGACCTCCCAGTTTAACGCCCGTCTCCGATAGGACCGAGCCAAGTGGGAAGTTCGTGTCACGTGTCTTTCCCAGGGACACAACGTCGGACCGAGCTGAGGCTCGAACCCCCGAACCCGCAACCTCACGATTATGAGTCCGGTAGCCTAACCAATAGGCTACGACACCATTATAATATAGTGTAAAGCGCATAGAGCCTGCTGTTGAGCGGGGATATGCGCTATACAAATGCTATTTATTATTATTTATTATTATAACTAGTCCGCCTACAAAAAATAGGAACTTGAAAAAGAGACGGAATATTAATACTATGTGAATGACGAAACAACATTTATTTGTGACGGTATTTCCGCGGATTTTTTAAAAATCTCAGTATCTACAACAATATACAAAACAATACAATGTTTTCACCCCATTTCTACACCCACGTTCAAAGTCTTTTATATAAAAAAGTCAGCGTCACAGTCTGCTGTGCAAATGCTCGTTACGCTTATACGTGGATTATGACTTTGAATAAATGAGCAGGTGTATTTTCTTACATATTTATCATGAAGAGATCGAAAATGTTTTAAAATGTACTTCACTAAACGGCGTGTGTACTCGAATCGGAGATTCTCAAGGTTTAAAAAGGACATATCACCAACGTGTATCGAGGGTGTCAAGGAAAACCTAAGAAAACATAACATCACAACTGAAAGAGCTGCGGAGCTGGCCTACCAAAGAGAACTGCATCTCCCTGCGACGCTTAATGGCAACAAAGGATGAAAAGTAAAAGTAAGTATCACCAACATTTTGTTTAACTTTAACATAATAATATTTTGCTCTTCAAAACTAATTTGAAAAACAAACAAACAAAAACACACAAAAACCACCAACAAAACAGCACAGAGTTTTAGACTCTAATGTAGTGGTTCTTAACCTAGGTCCCATGGAAACCAAGGGGTTTAATGTGAATCAATCCCATAGGTTGGGTGAAACACTTAGGACATTGGGCGACCAGCGAAGAGCAAGAACGACCGTGTTTTGAAAAAGAAATAGATAGACAGATAAAAATCTGCCTTGGAAAACAACTGTGCCGAGCAAATACCACGTCTTTCAGGTGTATTGATCGTGGTATGGACAACAAATGTTTCCCTTGTGTTTTTGCAACTTAGAGATTAAAACTTCCCCTCGATGAAAAAGAAAAAAGAAAAAGTAGGCAGATTAAAACTATGGACTCGATATTTTTCTTCTCTGCGTTTTCAGGCTTGGGACTTGTGCTGGTAGCATGTCACGCCTGTACATTTCTGTCTCCGTGGTTTAATGCACCCCGCATGATTTAGCAAAATTCGGCAATTTTTGTGTGTGCATAATTTCTGATTATTTTCCTTTATCATTCTTTGTTAAAATTAACCGAATCGCATAATTTCACATTTTAGGGCTCAGTTTGCATAATTTTAGAATTTTTCTTGCATAAAACGACGGGGACAGTTTGAGTACTGACGCTTTTTTGTTCCATTGTACTTTGAAACTCCTTTTAACAGTGGAAGCATTTATTATTACATGTAATTATCATTGACCTCAGAAATATCTGCGATATGACAGAGCTAAGTGCGCAAAGCGCCTTGAAAACCTCTCAAACAACCAAAGTTCTAGATGCCGTACTGGGGTTTGGAACCAAGATCATCCATTCATTTGTACAACCTGATACAAACTAAGCAACGAGCGCACATCGTTAATGAGTGTTATTTAAGCAATCGGTGAATGATGTAAAAATTTGAATGTTTCATGGCACTTTGGTGGTGAATATTCATAACTTCTTTCTTTGCGAGCGGGTAACAATTAAAGTGATTCACAGCCTTAGCTATATAAAACGTTGATGAAAGGCTTTCAAAAGTGTGAATTCCAAGATCTTTCCTGACTGGGCATTTACCTAGCCCTACGACAACTTACTGCCATTTATAACCCTCACAGACAAAGGTGATTTCAGATTCTGGTAAGCCTGCCACCTTCATCTACATAAATTTACATCATCATTGCTTTCTTCAGTTTCCAAGCACTTATTTCCATCAGGGATAACTGATCATTACGTAGGGCAATGTGTTTTATACGAGGATGTAGTGTTCTATCCGGTACACGCAGGAATTGCGGCTAGATCTACATCCGTTTTGATAGCGAGTGATACAGCTAAAATAAAATATTGAACAAAGCCCCTCCAGCCTAATGGGACACGGTTGAATTCGAAGACAGACCTTTAAAAAAAACATTTTAAAATGCCAGCTGGCTTGCAACATTTGACTTCAACGACAATTGAGTTTGACCAAAATAGATTGGATTTGAGTATAAAAGTAGCGCCATGTCTTAGTCTTAGAGGCACATTGGCAGCAGCATACACAAAGACAAGAAATCATTCCGATGTTTGGTCGCTTTTAAGCACAATGGGGCTATCCCGAAAAATGCTGTTTTCCGAAAATTGAAGGTAAAATTTTTACCCCTTGTTCAGTGTCTTTAAAAGACAAGGAGAGTTTTCTCTATAACCAAACAAATATACACACCAATGAAACCAAATATGTCCTATAGGTAGTGCAATGCCCACTTTTGGTGTCGGTCAAGATTTTAGGAAACCCCCGATATCTGGGTTAGTCCGCTTGTCCTTAAAAGCGACTACTTTAGCGTGGTAAAAATGGTGCCAACACAAGCGGAGGCATTGTGCCACCGGCCCTGAATGGTCAACAGCGAGCTGAGTTCATCCATAGTTGGTATGTTCTCTGTGTTCACAAAGCACTTCGCACTTCAGGCTGTGTCAGTTGTACTTACTTACTTACTTACTTACTTACTTACTTACTTACTTACTACCCATTACGCCATCTGGCGTTTAGGGCAGCAACAAAGGAACTCCAGCTCTGTCTGTTTTGGGCCATCTTAGTCAGCGTTCCCCACGAATGATTCCAGGACTTCATTTCAGACTCTACTGTGCGTCTCCAGCTTACTTTGGATCTGTCTCTTTTTGTGTCAGTTGTATGGTACTTGGAATCACGCAATCTTCCACCATGTCACCAACGCTCACTCGTTGGCTCATCATCAAAGTTTGGTTTTCTCCGCTTCTGTGTTGTACTCAACGCTCCCTTCGTCCAGTTTCTGCCCGTTGTTACTGACTACCAGGTCGAAGTCGGTTGAAGACGTTGAAGAGTTCCTGGGTTGCCTCCCGGTCTCGATTCCTGGAGCAGAAGATCCTTTCCCACGCGGGTTGCAAATGGCGTCAACCACTATGGCAACCATCACGTGACCAATGGCGTTCACGCCAGACCTCAGGCGATCTCTGGAACAAAAGAGTTCCGGATAATGATATCACGAGTTTGGGAAGTAATTAATTTCCATAAAACAGATGTCCCAGAATAATAATATATAAGATTACGTGTCTACTGAACAGTACAGTTGCTACAAACAATAAAAACCTCCCAACGAAACAAAGTAAAGAGAAACACAAAATGGTACAAAGGATTACTGGAAGGACTCACTGAAGGCTTATAGTATTAATATGCGGACTGCAGTTTACATCATAAAAAAAAATATTGATACTGATAGAGTGAAAACACAAAACAATATAATCAAAGTGAGTTTAATTCAATTTGGTTTGCCATCTGTATTCGCTTTACATGATGATACGATCTCTGTTTTGTTGTGTAAATCATACATTGGATCAGCCTAGACTAGAATGGCAATTGCAATTCAGCACTGCATTTGAAGATAAAAGACCACCCTAACAACAACCAAGCAACAATAATATTATCAAGATGACGAACAGCTGTCTGTGGAATTACAGAAAATGTTATCATGTGTGAGTAACACCGTTAGTTAACGAGCTCTCAACTAGAACTGAACAACGAGCACCATACTCACAAAATCCACTCGACAGCGAACAACAAGGCCACGTCATTTAGCGGGTAGTTGAGTGACGTCAGGATAATGACCAGCGTCACGATAGAGGCTGACGGGACAGGGGGGATGGCCAGAGACAGGATGGGACTGATCGCTCTGTGGAGGTCACGTGATTACACTTACACGGTTTAGTTGTCATTGGGAAAACGTACAATGTCAGATAATATGGTGGGGTGCAAGGGATGTTGGTCTAGCTTATAGAACATGAGCGAAAGGGTATGGGAGAGAGAGAGAGAGAGAGAGAGAGAGAGAGAGAGAGAGAGAGAGAGAGAGAGAGAGAGAGAGAGGGATAGAGAGGAAGAGAGAGAAAGTGAGAGAGACAGAGAGAGAAC